CCATTCTTCCTTGCAAAACAGCTCGAGCTCAGTGAGGTTGGATGGAGAAGCGTTTGTGAATAAACTTCAGCTCTTTCCACAGATTCTCAATTGGATTCAGGTCTGGACTTTGACTTGGCCATTCTAACACCTGGATACGTCTATTTGTGAACCATTCCATTGTAGATTTGGCTTTATGTTTTGGATCATTGTCCTGTTGGAAGATAAATCTCCATCCCAGTCTCAAGTCTTTTGCAGACTCCAACAGGTTTTCTTCCAGAATGGTCCTGTATTTGGCTCCATCCATCTTCCCATCAATTTTAGCCATCTTCCCTGTCCCTGCTGAAGAAAAGCAGGCCCAAAGCATGATGCTGCCACCACCATGTTTGACAGTGGGGATGGTGTGTTCAGGGTGAAGAGCTGTGTTGCTTTTACGCCGAACATATTGTTTTGCATTGTGGCCAAAAAGTTCGATTTTGGTTTCATCTGACCAGAGCACCTTCTTCCACATGTTTGGTGTGTCTCCCAGGTGGCTTGTGGCAAACTTTAAACGAGACTTTTTATGGATATCTTTGAGAAATGGCTTTCTTCTTTCCACTCTTCCATTAAGGCCAGATTTGTGCAGTGCACGACTGATTGTTGTCCTATGGACAGACTCTCCCACCTCAGCTGTAGTTATCTGCAGTTCATCTAGAGCAGTGTCTCCCAAAGTGGGGTCCGCGGCCCCCTGGTGGGCCGCGAGGGTACTGCAGGGGGGCCGCGGGAGGTCATAAAAAAATATATATATATATTTAATGTTAAATTTATAATGTTTTGTTTGTAATATTAAAATATTTGTGTTCATTATTTGACTTGAATAATCCACTGTAATCATTTTTGTATTACAATGTTTGTAGCAGAGGCTATTTCCCCAAAATAAAATAACCAGAAGAGCCTATTCTTAATGTTGTCTTCTTGGTTATTATTTTGGGGGGCCACGCAGACCCGTCAGATTTTTAAGGGGGCCTCGGTGTTACTGAGTTTGCTGATCTAGAGTGATCATGGGCCTCTTGGCTGCATCTCTGATCAGTCTTCTCCTTGTTTGAGATGAAAGTTTGGAGGGACGGCCGGGTCTTGGTAGATTTGCAGTGGTCTGATACTCCTTCCATTTCAATATAATTGCTTGCACAGTGCTCCTTGAGATGTTTAAAGCTTGGAAAATCTTTTTGTATCCAAATCCGGCTTTAAACTTCTCCATAACAGTATCTCGGACCTGCCTGGTGTGTTCCTTTGTCTTCATGGTTCTCTCTGCGCTTTAAACAGAACCCTGAGACTATCAAAGAGCAGGTGCATTTATACGGAGACTTGATTACACACGGGTGCATTCTATTTATCATCATCAGTCATTTAGGACAACATTGGATCATTCAAAGATCCTCACTGAACTTCTAGAGTGAGTTTGCTGCACTGAAAGTAAAGGGGCCGAATAATATTGCACGCCCCACTTTTCAGTTTTTTATTTGCTAAAAAATTTTAAATTATCCAATACATTTTGTTCCACTTCACGATGTGTCCAACTTGTTGTTGATTCATGACAAAAAATTTAAATGTTATATCTTTATGTTTGAAGCCTGAAATGTGGTGAAATGTTGAAAGGTTCAAGGGGGCCGAATACTTTCGCAAGGCACTGTAGCTAAAATCTGGAACAGTTTTCTGAAAATGTTAAAGAGCGGCTTCTCCTTGTTCACAATATTGTACAATGTTGTGAAGGATTGTATCTTCACTCTTTTAATGTACTGTAATTATTAATGTCATATGTATGTATTGTAATGTTTTCATTTTCCTTGTGTGTGAACTATGCTATACAAATAAATTTTCCTTGCCTAAGTGAAGAACAGTGGGAAGAAACTGGGAACTAATTGGAGTTACTACAATAGTTACTGTCGGAGCTGGAGCTGCGCACACCAAAAACATGTGAGCAAACTCTGAGCTCAGGCCATGAGCAAATCATTAAGATGGCCGCCACAGGAAGTGCCCTTTATACAACCAAATGACCTCTACATGTGTACATCTGTCTTCAGGTTGACTTTACAGTGAGATTCTATGGAGATGGGTCTTAAATCAAAGGGTCAGGCTCAGTCCTGGATCGGTATGTGCCACCCGTTTCACACTTTTAACCCGCTGTTTCTTTGTTGAGTGGTGGGACGGTCTAATCAGTGCAAATTTTTAACCTTTCTTGACAGTGGTCATCCTGCTCCCTATGAACCAATGGCTCTTAAGTATTTGTTACAGTAATATTGCATTTCCTGTGTGCAAACATTTTGATTTTCTGATCTGTCCTTCGGGACAACTGCTATTGTGATTTAGGGCTATACTAAAATAAATGTAATTCAATGTGATGTGAAAGTATGTGGTTCTGGCAGGTCAGGTAAACATTATGATATAAACATGATATCATGGATTGTGTATTAAAACATTTCTGAATCGTTTCACCTCCTTCCTGTTAGTAAACACAGATTCAGGACTTAAATGTAAAAAGCTAATTCTTAATTTGTCAAAAAAAAGAGAGATACATGATATAAAAACAAAAAAAAACAAGCTCCCCCCCCTTCCTTTCTGATTAGTCTTGAAGCCCTGCCTACTTTTCCATGCACGCGCCAGAGAATAGAATATTATTTTAAATATTTGAGTATTTAATCATAATTTGGTATACAGCTCCTCACAACAGCAATAGAACGCTCCATTGATTGGAATGTAATTCAAAACATTTTACTGATCATTACTGTATTTCTGAATAACGGACTGATTTCTGAATAATGGCCGCTGCCCTTTGGCAACGCGCTCTGAGCTTGTACTTTACAGGTGTAAAATACTAAGATTACTCTATAGTTCTACACTTCATCACAACGGGCTTTAAGCGCCTGTCACTTCTATCGGAGCTAGCCACGCTCGATCACACAAATATCAATCAATAATACGTTTAAATGTAAATCGGAGAATACATTATACTGTGGGGAAGCTGGCCCGAGTGTCAAAGTGAGACAGCAGAAGTCACATTCAAAGTTGCCAAAAGATTTATTTTGCACAACAAGCAATCCTGTCCCTTGGGTGTGACTCCCCCTGACTAGGTTCACCTGTGAGCTTTTATCATTGTAGTTCCGCCCACAAGGGTTTGCCTACAAAACAAAATGGCTGTCCAAGACACACCCTCTTCAACAGGTAATACATGCAATAAAAATGGCATTAAAAAGGGACAAAGGAACCTGCTTTGTCACACACCCCCCCCCCCCTCTTATAACTGTTACTCCCCAGAGTCACAGACGTCAATACATTTACGATACACATGAAATTTTTAAATAGTGAAGGTACTTCAAAAGTCCCAGATGCTCCTCTTGTCAAGAGCATGGTCTCCACTGACAGTACCTCAGTTCTTGGAAGAATTCACCCCAGCACAGTCTCAAGCAGACCCAACAATTCCGGCCTCTTGAACATTACCCCACAGTGGGGTCCTCAATCCGGAACACTGTCCGAACTCCTCAGGTGATTCCCTCTGCACACACTTGTACTGGAACACCGCTCCACAGCTTCAATCCAGCCGCTCATTGCAACCACCGGAATCCGCCGCAATCTTCAGCCTCAACCGGCCAAACTCAAAAATAGGTTCTGCAAGCCAAAACAGCTCCAGCTCCTTCCACAGTAGAGCTCCACACCAGATGCCATCCTCTCAGCAGGGGTCATCTCTGCGAACTCCGCACCGAATTTCCGCACCTCTGGCTGGTGAGCAAAATCTTCCTCCATGTTTCTTTCCTCATTGTGTTGACTTCCATTTGGGGTGTTGTGTTGTCTCTCCTGTTCTCCTGCCTCTCACTGGCCTGGATCCCACCGCTGCCACCATATGTGGGGAAGCTGGCCCGAGTGTCAAAGTGAGACAGCAGAAGTCACATTCAAAGTTGCCAAAAGATTTATTTTGCACAACAAGCAATCCTGTCCCTTGGGTGTGACTCCCCCTGACGAGGTTCACCTGTGAGCTTTTATAATTGTAGCTCCGCCCACATGGGTTTGCCTACAAAACAAAATGGCTGTCCAAGACACACCCTCTTCAACAGGTAATACATGCAATAAAAATGGCATTAAAAGGGACAAAGGAACCTGCTTTGTCACATATACATATACATTATTAACACAGAGAGGTTGCAGAGAGGTTTTCAGAATTATCTATTAATGTTTTCACGACAAAAATACTGTTTAAATGCACCAAAAAGTGCTCACGGTAAACCCGGAAGTAACCATTAACATTCGCAGAACATTTTAGGACACATTTGCAGAGGATCTGATGGATTTAGGTTAAGTTTATATTTGGGTAACTCACCGCTGATGTTCACAACTCTTTGTTCACTTTTCATGTAGTTCCAGAGAGTTCTAGTTTTGAAGTCATCTACTTGCTAGCCTAGCTGTTACCTGTCGAGTCACACCACGGCGAAACCTTTGGGAACGAACTGTTTTATATATATAATTTGAAAAAGATAATGCCCATTACAGCTTCAAATATTAAGGGCTGTCTAATATTTGTTCAAATATACGTATGTATATATATTCAATATTTGATTTATATATGAGCACGAGCGCAATGATTGACAGCCCTTGGAATCACTTGATTGGTTAAAGTGGATGGAATCGTGGATTTTGAACGATAGCTAAGATAAGGGAAGGCGGGACTTACCCGTTATATTAAGCATTTAAGGCCAGGAGGTCAATTTAATACAATTCTTAAAATATGTAATTAATTTAGAGTTCCAGACTATCACTTTAATAAGAAAAAAAAAATGAAAACACGCTACTACTGCTTAATTAGCTGACATGTTTTGGCGGTTGTATAAATAAGTTAGGGTTAGGGTTGATTGATTGATTTGTCAGAGGAGACACGTGTCTCTCATCAGCTGTTGTTGCCGAATGCGGGCAGTCTGACAGATCTATCAGATCCGTCAGACTAATGCTTAGAAAGTTATTAAAAGAACCGTCAAACCAATAGACTCAGGACTTACCCATGTTGCCAGTGCGCACGTGCAGCTGGCCCTTGAGTACAGTGTGCACGCTGAGAGGACAATTGGGGCCCTGGCCTCCACCGGTCCCCAGCAGCTCCTCCCCCACATACTCTGTGGTCAGGACGTCCAGCTCATGAAGGGCCTGGACAGCAGGCTTCCCCTGACGCAGCATGATCTGTGGATAGAGAAGCACGTAAATATAGGGAGGGCCTCACTGTGCGACATCATCAAGACACTTAGAGCAGGGGTGTTCAAACCTTTTCGTCAGAGGGCCACTTAAGTTCACCAGGCTTGTCCAGGAGCCGACAACCTGGATTGTAAAAGGGCTTCAGGTTGTTCGGGGATCCATAATTAGCTCTGATGAAGCTGAAGCTTGATGACACTGTGAACTTGTGTTTATGATCTCAAGGTAGTCTACCCTGTGTTAGCTACAGAACATGACACAGAGGGCCGCATTTGGCCCGTGGGTCACGGAGTCAGAGCTGCGTTCGCATCGTCAGCAGTAAGTCAGACCTGTTCCCGGTGCATGTTGGGTGGAGCTTGAGATTGACAGGTGGATCGGTGTAATAATGCATCGGTTTTATATAGACGCTTTACATGTACATGTATTCTACTACTGTAGCTACAGCTGCCCTGGGGCACACTGACCGGCAGTTTGGCACTTTGCAGCCGTAGCCGCCCCACTGTGGCACCTAGTGTTCTCAGAATCAGAATCATTTTTATTGCCACGTAAGTAACAGGAGGTCACAGACTTGGAAATTGCTTTGGCTCAGTGCAACAGTCAAAAAGAGATAATAAAAATAAGAATAAAAAAGGTTCTCAAAGGTTAAGTGTCTTGCCAAGGACACAATAACAGCAGACATCAACTGAGCTACTGTCGCCCAGTAGATCAGTTGGTTGTAGCACGTGCAGTGATGCGGACGTTGTTTCGGACTGTTGTTTCAGATCGTTGTTTCGGACCATTGTGGTGAAGAGGGAGCTGAGTCAAAAGGCCGGTTTTAACTCAGGTGGTCTGTTAATCTACGCTCCCACCTTCACCTATGATCCTGAGCTTTGGGCAATGACCCAAAGGACGAGTTTGCGTATACAAGAAACTTGCAAGTAGATATTTTAACACGTCTTGGGTTAGAAACTGTTGTGGAGGTGGTTTGTGTGGGTCTGAACAGTCCACTCTTCTGTGCCCCAGGCTGACAATGCAGGTGTTGTGCTTGAGCAGAACATGAGCTGGGTGGTTGGAGCCCCAAAGAACCTCCTTGCTCTTTCCCGACACGCTCAGCGTAGATTGCGTATCCGTTTAAATCAGATGATTTTGGTTGGAATTTTCTACATCCAGCAGAAACAGTATAAAGATAATACATGTGAATGAAGTCTGTGTGCGCTGCATGTTCTGCGTAGCGTAGCTGTGGGAAAGCTCAGTCATGGTGGCGGTGTAAGGCAGGTGTGTGCTGTCACTTTGTGTTGTGTTGCCATGTGTTGCGTCACTCCATTAGCCGTGTCAGAACAAGCTGCTCACATTGCAGAGCTGTGGCAGAGCTGATGGGGCGGTGTGTGGGTGTGTGTGCAGAGCTGATGGTAACAGTGTGCGGCCTTTATAATGTATGGAGCACAAACAAAAGTGAGCACACTGAGCACACACACACACACACACACACACACAGGTTTGTTTACATTTCAGAAAATGGTTTTGTCCATAGGTTATAGTTTGAGGATTTGTCATTGTGTACAGAGTTTAAATGGGAGCAGTCAGTGACAATGTCTGAAATCAGCAAGGATGGAGCTAAAAACAGCTCCAGGCAGCCGTCCAAAGAAGCAGGATGTGGTTCAGTACCTTCAGTGGGAAAGCAGCGGAGCCGACGAGCAGAAGGGAGTCCGAGTCCCACACATCCAGCTGCAGGCTGTGGGAGGCCAGGTACTGCAGGAACCAGGGCCTCTCTCCGGGCCGCAGGAAGGAGCTGTCCACCCGGAACTGCAGCTGGAGCCCTGGGGGCCCTGAAGACACAACGGAGCCTCTGAGAGCTGGCTTTTGTCCAACTAATGCAAACCTACAAAAATACCTCACGCAAGATAAAAAATAAGAGTTTGATTAAAATATGTCACAACACATTAAGATCCAGATCTACAACCATACCTTTAATTTCTATCATGTAAACTACATCTCGAACGAGTGCTTTGATGTTGGTACCAAATGAATGTAAAATTTAACTGTTTCAATTGAAAATGATGACTTTGGAATAAATATGCAGCCAGAGCCAGAAATGTTATTGTATTATAACTTGTTCTGGGTTTCAATTAATGTGGCTTTACTTTTGTTAAAGTTGGAATATCTAACTTTGAAAGCACAAGCTCTCGCTCTCAAAACTTGTTTTGGTCACTAGTTTTACATATATGTATTATTTTTGCCTCTACACATCTTCAGATCCGCTTTTTCTGCTCTTTATTAGCTGTCAGTATATGAAAGCATGTTCTGGTCTGATCTGATTCTTTCACAAAATGTTACCTAAACAAGTTTCTGTTGAGATGTCGTGAAAGTGAATGGATGGTGGTGGTCAGAGGCTTCGGGCTCCAGGTGTCTGACGTCAAATTCCTTAAACACTGCCGCCTTTACAGCAAATGTGGCTCATGTAGATTTTTAATTGTGCTGGAGCAGGCATGTCCAAACTGAGACCAATTATGTTCACAAGTCTACAACCACAGCATTCTTCATCTTTGACCCAGTACAATTCAATCCAAACACATTAACTGTGTGTATAAGCTATCTTCACGGGGTAAAAATGTCATTACTTTTCACTTAGAAAACCAATTTTATTCCCCTGACCAAAATGAGTTGGACACCCCAGGATTAAACGGAGCCAATAATGTTACCAATTTTTGAAAACAAACCGGAATCCAAAGAGAGAAATGAGGTAAATGAGTCCAGACATGGAAGTCAACACTTTGCCTCCAGCTATGATCATCAACAGTGAGTTAAAACACCTCCTCATTAAATCATGTTGATTCCAGTTAAAACAGTCATCTCTCTGCTCTGTTCCATCAGCTGTAGGTGAAGTGTGACATCCCAACTTGAACCTGAGGCTTATATTTCAACCCTCTCTCATTACACAGTTTGGCTGTAGTTGAGCCAAATGAGTGAGGTCCCAGTGCGGCCGTGGCAGCTTCGTTCTTTGTCTAATTTTGCGATCAACAAAATATGAACTCTCCAACCAGGCTCACACACACTGTCAGACTGTTGTATGAGTACTGTTACACTGTCACATAAACAACCTCAACCGCCTTATTTTTTTTTTCCAAGACGACCCAGATGCATTTAAACAGAAGGGGCAGGGCATGTGTTTGTGCCGGTTCTTGATATTAACGAGGATGAAGATAAAAATCACTCAGGTCTGTATCTCATCAGGAGACCAGGTGAACAGCTCAAAATGAGAGTAGAGCCCTGTTTCCACCTACTCCATTCTACTCTACTCTACTCTACTCTGGATCCAAGTCGAGCTGGTACAAAGTGATCTAACTGACAGTGGTTGGCCAGAGTGCTGCTGGAAGCCATAGTCAGCAAGGAAATTCCTCAGATACTGGTTTGTCGTGGGTAGGTAGCAAGGATATGATATCAGATACTACAGCAACATGGAAATGCAGAGTAGAGTGGGGCTGGTGGAAACAGGGCTTATATCTCATAGCAGTTTGATATTACATGTTTAATAATAAAGTCAAGTAGATGGAGCTGGCTGTATGATTGGCTGCTTCTTCTTGCGGGCAGGAGTATGAGCGCTCCTGCGGGGGTGATTAAGCCCGGCGAGGCAGCGTGGAAGTGTGAGCGTGGCCAATATGAGCCTCTTTACCCCAGGGCCACATCAGCCACATAATAAGGGGCACTAACCGGGGCCGAGAGCGGGGCCACTTCACACACGCACCAGAGTGATGGTTTTAATCAGCTGCTGCGCTCTGAGGCTGCAGCTGCTGTTGGGAGGAGGCACCTAAGAAAACTGCTTTTACTTTGTGCTTTTGTAATTTACGAATCGTTTATGTGTCAGGACAGTAATAGCATCCCATTTAACTCTTCTCTGGAACGGCTGTAGAACAAACACTGCCCATAAAATAAAGCTTTCAATACTAGACTCTCATTTGTGCTGCTGTAATTTGACAAATCCATTCATAATGTAATTGTGCAGATTTGTTCCTAATACACTGTAAACATGAACAGAAATATAAATAACCTTAAGTCTGTTTTCGATGAGGGAACAATGTGCTGCCTTTCAAAACAGACAGCTTCAACCACATGCATGTTCGGCTTCTGTCACATCTCTCTGGTCTCGCTCTCTGGTCTCGCTCTCTGGTCTCGCTCTCTGGTCTCGCTCTCTGGTCTCGCTCTCTGGTCTCGCTCTCTGGTCTCGCTCTCTGGTCTCGCTCTCTGGTCTCGCTCTCTGGTCTCGCTCTCTGGTCTCGCTCTCTGGTCTCGCTCTCTGGTCTCGCTCTCTCTGGTCTCGCTCTCTGGTCTCGCTCTCTGGTCTCGCTCTCTGGTCTCGCTCTCTGGTCTCGCTCTCTGGTCTCTCTCTGGTCTCTCTCTCTGGTCTCTCTCTCTGGTCTCTCTCTGGTCTGTCTCTCTGGTCTCACTCTCTGGTCTCACTCTCTCTGACCTTTCTCTCTCTGGTCTCTTTCCGGCTTTGTCTTATCTTTAGATCAGCTTTTCCAGGCAGAAAAGTGGAAACCTGAGGACCAGCCTTGCTCAGCTCTCAGCCCAAAGAGTCAAAAAGAGACTCACAGGGCACTTTCTTACAAGCAAGCAAAAGATAACATGTTTTCTAAAGACATGGACAATTTATGAAAAAGGAAAAGTCAGGTATACGTCAGCTTTAAATGGGTCTGATTGGACTTGACAAAGCAGCTGTGAAAGATTATCTTTAGACCTCACTTAAAGGATGAGGGCTCCGGTGGGGGCCGGGCCGAGGGGAGGTGCAGAGAGAGAGATAGTCACGGACGGTCTCGGTACAAAGACGTCGAGACAGACCACCGAGCGGGGAAATCTCCGTAATTCTCACCGTGACCTCCGTTCTTTGAAGCAGGACAGCAGGCTTTGAAGACCTGGGCCTCAGCCAGGATCCATGCTCGCCGTGCCCAAGGAGAAGTCACATTCAAATGAAGCAAACAATGCATTTGATCTACAGTAAGCACAAGCACTGGTTCTCAATCCGTGGAACCAACACATCTCTGCTGTGAGGGTGAGGCAAAGGGAAAGAGTAGGAATGTGGCAATTTATCAAAATATTCAATGTTTTTTTATATATTTTTCCAGACAAAGACACTTCTCACTGCTCTTCAGCTCCTTTAAATCAAGTCAGCATCAGTGCCAGTGCATCACCCTCAAAGACAATCTCAGTATAAACACCAGGATCGCAGCGAGCACTAAACCACAGAATTTTAATCCCAAAACGGTGAGTGTGACCCGTACAGTTACTGAGCTAGAGGGGTTTACTTGTGAGTCAATAGGAGCCAGAGGGAGGTGGAGCAAAACTTTGTCCATGAACACTTCTCTATTGGGCTTCATTCAGCTAGCGGGTTTGCATTGTCATTCTGTATACAGCCTATGGCAGGGGTCAGCAACCAGTTCTCAAGCTGCGTGAGGCTCTACGGCAAACATTTTTTGCTCAGGATAATTTTTGTCTTAATTTGGTATCTGTAAATAAAATTTCTTGGCGTTTTACACTGCTGTACAAATGTGCATATTAAATATTCAATTTCAAAATTTCTCTCAAGATTTTGCATCACACCCTGCAACAGCCTGAAAACAAAGCGGCATGAGCCATGGATCCAAAAGCTATAAAGAGAAAGATAGCAGATGAGAACTTTGTAAAGAGAAGTTGTCGAACAGTAAAGATTGTCATTTCAAAAGAGGTTTCCACGGAAGACACGTTAAATTTGCAGCCAACTACCCAGTGAGGGGAAAAGGTGCAATTTAAGAGTGGATCGCCAAACTTCACTACTGCTGCAAGTTTTGTTGCAACCCAAATGATAACAAAGCATGGAAAACATTGATAATCCAGAAAATTAAAGGGTGCCTCTGCAAAGATGGTGAAAGAGAGGGCCATAAAAGGCTAAATCAATCTGCAAATCAAGGACATTTATTCAGCTCCAGCTTACTCCGGCCTGTAATGGTAACCGCTATGAAGCATTGTTGATTTCTTAACTGTATTTCTACAATTTCATCAATGCAAAAAAATGGAAGCACCACATATCTGACGTGACAATGATATTTCAGTGCATTCTGTCCAAGATGCACTGCAGGGAAACTAAACATTTAATCATGGATGCTCATTATGTATTTGTAGCCTATACTGATGGTTAGCTTTCATATAAGCCTTACATGAGGCTTTTCATTGTTTGCGGCTCCAAATAGATTTGTTTTTTTGTTTTTTTTTGTCAAACATGGCTATTTGAACATTATGGTTTGCCATATATATATATATAATGGTCTATGGCAGGGGTGCTCAATACGTCGATCGCGATCTACCAGTCGATCGCAAAGGTAGTATTGGTAGATCGCATTAAATAAAAACTAAATTACACATTCTAAACGAATATATACAAAAAACTCCGGGCAAAGTGGAGATTTTTGAAAACTCTGTTAATGCATTTGTGTGTAGACAGAGATAACCAGAGTTTTGCGTTCTCGCACGCCACAGTACCCCCCTAAATTCCTCTGATCACTGAAGCATGGATCATACTACCTTAAAAATTGTCCGCTGTGAGATGCTCGCAGCAGCGAACATCCTCGCTCCACATCAGAGGGCAGCAAAGTGATCGCGGGGACTCACGCTTGAAAACAACCAAACCAGGACTAAACCAGGACTAAACCAGGACTAAACCAGGGCTGAGGACGGGGTCAGTGCTTGTAAACATACGTCTTTACTCTGAGTGTCTTCTATGACTGTAAAAGTGCCGTTACCGGCGTCTGCATCAAAGCTCCGCCCACTTCTGTGTTTTTCCCCAACGCAGGACAGGACGTAAGAGACGCACATGTTTGGAATGTTACAAACGTGACTGATAACGCAGATGTGTGGATGCAAATTATTTTATAAACGGAGGAGGGGAAATATTTGGATTTAAAAAAAACAGGCATGGCACATGGACATGGCACCACAGTCAAATGACATCTGTGTTTTACTCAGTAATGTTTTACTGACACTTAGGTGACTGCACATGCGCAAACAACCGCGCTCAGTGCAGGAAAGCTAAACCACGACAAACTTGTCAGCGAGTTACCACCAATTTTCCGGACTATGCATCCCTGGCCGATTCAATTCAGTGAAAGTCATCAGAGTAAACTCGGGTAATGACAAAAAATGTACATAGGTAATTGTGTTGTGTTGTGCTATATTGGCTCATGCTGTTTTGCATGTACATAAACATACATTGTAGATATAAAGAATATTTTTTGAAATATATGATTTGCATTTTTGTAGTAGGTAGATCATTTTGACTTGATCCTTTTATAAGTAGCTCGCATGCTGAAAAAGTGTGAGCACCCCTGGTCTATGGGAACACTGGAGAACTGGCCATTAGGTACAAAGCACTACACAACTAGTTCCAAATGTATTGAGATGAACAAATAACTTCTACAATATATTATATATACCATGTTTATTTAATGCCCCTGGATATTGTGTGTGTTTGTGTGTGTCTTTGTGTGGCTCTGTATGTGTGTGGTATATGTGTGTGCGTGTCTGTGCGCAAGTCTGTGTGTGTGTCTGTATCTATTTGTATGTACATGTATGTGTGTGCGTGTTCTCACCTGAGCTGGGGCCATCTCGGGTCACAGGGGTGAGGAGGCAGAAGGGCCCCCCGCTCTGGGGGGGCTCCAGCAGGACCAGGGGGTGAGTGGTCACTGGTGGAAACCTATACAGCTGAAAGGTCAAGTAGACGCTGCGGGGCCAGTGCGGGCCCCCTGCCGACTGTGGGCTCCTGAAACATGTACAAGACGGCGTTAGGAAGTGTGCTGTGAGAAGAAGAATCAAGTTCGGGTTCGAGGCGTACAGGGGCCTTAATGATCTTTGCTACAAACATTGACAGAAGGAGTAGGGATAAGTAATTAGACCATCACATTTAATAGGTGGTTGCGTGTACACTCCAAAACATCTTTAAAAAACATTTGAAAAAAGTTGTTAGATTAACATGACAGAGGTAAACTTTGTGGCTTGTATGCACCACTGCAATAAATCCAGAGGGAGGACCGTGTCTTCTCAAAGGCCTCCGTCCTGCCCCTGCTCCTCAGCATGATGTTTACCGTCCTCTATAGCTGTTGTTTACAGTGTATGCTCTGCAGCAGCGCACCCTGCATAAAATAAACCTTTATTTGTCCCTAAGTGGGAGAATTTCAATATACATACACTGTGTACACCTAGGATTTATTGCAAATTTGAATTCCTGTAAAACATAAGTATGACTGATACCATGACTTCTTCGAATCGACAATAATGCACATATGTGGAGTGGCCTGTCTTGAAAGTTTGTGTTTCCAAGCGGCAGCCCCTAAATATTACTGCTCTAGAAGAGATCTGCATGGAGGAATGAGCCAAAACACCAGCAACAATGAGTGATAATCTTATGAAAAAAAAACAAAAAAACAGACATGATTTTTTGGATTATTTTCTCATTTTATTTCATAGTCTAGGAATACCGAGGAGGAACATTACAGACCTCTCATCTTAGTGGGAGGACTTGCATAATTGGTGGCTGACTAACTATCTTTTGCCCCACTGTAGATCTACGGTTAAAACAGACAAAAAGGTGGATTTATGTTTTCATTGGTGCAGAGTGTCATTCCTTTGGAGGAGTTTGAGTGTGTGCTGGGCCCTCTCCCCCTCTGAGCCGAGGTGCATTCAGATTCCAGCGTAAACACAGCAGATTGGTAATGATGCCTTTGGTGAGAGGTAGGAATTAGCCTGCCTCTTGGCACTGGCTAAGTGCAGAGCTGCTGCATCTGTCTTCACCCCCCTCCTCTCACCCACGTCTTTACAGCTGCAAAGAGACACAGAGACTTTGTTCGTTTGCACCATTTCAATAGTTGATTATCAAGGCTTTTCCCTCCAGTAAAAATCTATGGTTTGGAGCAGAGTTTACGGCAATTATCTGCTTTGTTTTTATTTTGTAAATTATTAAGGAAAGATAGTTATGTATATATTTATAAAGTGATCATACTTGCATGCAAAAAGCCAGATCTTGTCAGACCTCTGAAGCTGTGCAGGGCAGGGCCTGGTTAATACTGTGATGGGAGACCTCTAGGTGCCACACTTCACCCACACTGGGGCGGCTGCAGCTGGGGCAGCTGCAGCTGTAAAGTGCCAAAACTGGTGTTATGTTCTTAGGCAAGACACTTGACCCACACCAGAATGAGTCTGGTGTGTGTGTGAATGGTTGGTGGTGGTTGGAGGGGCTGAATGCACATACTGGTTGCCTCGCTTCTGTCAGTGTGTCCCAGGGCAGCTGTTGCTACTGTAATAGTTTATCACCCCCGAGTATGGAATGATGACATGTAAATTGACTTCTAGTGTCAAAAAAAAAAGCTACGTAAAAAAATGATGCCTTATATTTTATATGAATCCCTATTTATGCAATTTGATAAAGCTGATCTACTGTAAATAAATACATTATCTACTGATAGCTTTAGCGGCAGTTTGGATATTTCATGAGACTTTTGAAGCAATTTTGTTTAACTAAGTTTGTCATCAACACAATGCAAGGCAGTGATTTTCCACTTGTCTCTCCAAGTGTCTTCAGACTTTTTCACCCAGAGCGCAACTATCCCAAGACAAAAAAGACAGAGAGCTACTTCTTTAAGCGGTCCTGGGAAAAATTTAATATTGGAGAGAGCGAGCCTGATATCGACCACAGTCATTATTTATCATCACATATTCGTTATTTGTGCGCATAATAAGTTTGCTTTTACAATAATGAATAATAATAATGAAATGCATAGTATATTTTTTTATTTGATTTCTATATCCTTTGGCAAGCCACATGGAAGGGGGTGGCGAGCAACTGGTGGCTCCTGAGCTTCAGGTTGGAGACCCCTGATCTATGCTATGATATCAAGCATTCTGTAAAATCCTTGTTCGTGTCTCTTCTCTACCATCGACAATAATAATATACTAAATCAGTTTTATATAGCGCTTTTCATTAACTCAAAGAGTTCAGGAGACACACACACACACACTCAGACAGACACAAACTAAATAAAAGATGTCTTCAGTCTGGAACACAATCCCAGACCGCTTTGTCATTTTCTTCACCAGGAACTATTTTTTGTGGTTTGAAAGTTGAGTGGCAACAGTAAAAAATAGAAACAAAAAAATTATTTGTTTAATTTATCAAAGGATAAATGACATCCCCACTCTATACTAAAATAAAATCTAACTTTAGCCAGCTAAAGAAGCAAGCGTGAAATACTGTATATTCTAGCACAAGAAAGTGTGATGTATATGCACACCTGTATGTGACAGTGACAGTGGACATGTGTCGTTCTAAATTGCACATGATTCTAGCATGATTGAAACTATTATACCATACTTAGTCAAATTTATTGGTTGAACTTCAGATCCTAAGCCATGATGATGAATAAATTAACTAGGGGCTAAACAATTCCCCATACTTTGACCTTTGCATGCGATCATTTTCAATGTAGCTAGATACAGTAGCATCAGGTAATCTTTAGGTAGTTCTCGGCTTTAAAAACGTGCTTGACTATTAAATCAGAGATAAGCACACACCTTAGTGTGAAGCAGCTTTTTCTACTCTGGCCAGCTTGGTTTGGAACATGCCCTTTATGAAGCTGCCACACATTTGAATTGCCTCCTATCAGCGGCGGCGGCTTCACTCGCCGTTATGGCCACATTAAATGGCTGCGGTACAAACGAGAGCTGTGTTTTAACTTCAAAAATGGGGCTGAGAGGAGATGAGCTTGGCAGAGTGCTGTGACGGTAGAGGCCTCAGAGGAAGACTGGAATGGTGTCAGAAAATGGGCCAGATAAGATGCGGTAAAAATAGAAAGCCATATTATTGAGAGGGTTCAATGCTGCAAGTGAAAAAGGCATTTACAAGAAGAAGAAGAAAACAGCAGGATTAACGCTTGTGAAGAGAATTAAAAAAACAGCTGCCGGCGCTTTGTGCTGTAGAAAAACAAGGAGCGGTTTGAAATAAATCAACATTTTTACTCCATGATTAGGAAAGTAAATATTTGATTTGAACATGAACCCAAGAGTTGGAACTCCAGTCTACCGCCTCAGTCCTGGATATACTGCCTCAGTCCTGGATCTCGAGCCTCGGTCCCACTGGGTCCCACTGGGTCCCACTGGATCCCAAAAGGGCAGCGAGGGACCAGTGTGGCTTCAGCTTTTTATTACAACCTAGCAGGAGCACACCACAAAGGATACAAAACCTTTTTGCCACCACCGCTGCATCTTGGCCAAATATCAATCAATCAATCAACGTTTATTTGTAGAGCGCCTTTCCTACACAAGGCAACGCAAAGCGCTTCACATCCCCTATCACATCATGCATAAATCAAACACATTAAGAGCACAAGATATATTAAAAACATTAAAAATAAAATCACAAAAATTAAAAACCTTTAAACATTAAAATCACAGATGGGACTAAAATCATAAATAGTCACAGTGCATTAAAAAGATTAAAGATAAAAACAAAGATGAAAAGATAAAATCATTCAGTTGTATATGCGCAGCTAAACAGAATTGTTTTGAGCCTAGATTTAAAAGATGCCAGAGTAGACGCCTGTCTCACATTCTCAGGAAGACGGTTCCAGACTCTAGCCGCATGAATCTGAAATGCAGTTTGCCCATGTCTAGTACCGACTCTGGGCACTAACAGGAGTCCAGTCCCTGTGCTCCTCAGAGTCCGGGTCGGTTCATATGGCACAAACATGTCATGGATGTACCTTGGCGCGAGACCATGGAGAGACTTGTACACAAGTAAAGCTGCTTTGAAGTCTATTCTCTGAGGAACAGGAAGCCAGTGCAGAGACCTGAGAACTGGACTAATGTGGTCGTACTTCCTAGTTCTGGTCAGGACTCGAGCTGCTGCATGTTGAATGTACTGCAGCTGTTTTACAGCCTGTTTGGACAGACCTGTGAGCAGGCCATTGCAATAGTCTAACCGACTGGAGACAAAAGCGTGTATAAGAGTCTCCAAGTCTGCCTTAGACACTATGTTTTTAATTTTAGCAATGTTTTTTAGGTGGTAATAAGCTGCTGATGTTACAGATTTTATGTGGCTTTTGAAATTTAAGTCTGAGTCCATTATCACTCCTAGATTTCTGACCTGATTTGAGGGTTGTAGAGAGAGAGCCTGGAGGTGACAAATAACGCTCTCTCTTTGTTTCTGGGGTCCGAAAACAATTATTTCAGTTTTGTCGGTGTTTAGTTGGAGAAAGTTATTTTGCATCCAATCACCGATTTGCTGGACACAGTGAAGGAGCGAGTCCACTGGTTCATGCTCTCCTGCTGTCAGGGACACATAGACCTGAGTATCGTCAGCGTAATTGTGATAAGAGACATTATTACTGTGAATCAACTGACCTAGAGGCAACATGTAAATATTAAACAGAAGAGGACCCAGGATTGACCCCTGTGGCACTCCGCAGGTCAGGGCCAAGTGGTCTGAGGTACAGTTTTCGATCTCCACAAAAAACTTTCTGTCTTGTAAATAGGACCTAAACCAGCTTAGGGCGGTGCCAGCAACACCAACCCAGTCCTCAAGTCTCTGAATGAGGATGCCATGATCAATAGTGTCAAAAGCAGCACTTAAATCTAACAGAAAAAGGACTGAGACTTTTCCTGCGTCAGTGTTTAGTTTGATGTCATTTGTTACCTTTATTAGCGCGGTCTCAGTGCTGTGGTGGGGTCTAAACCCTGACTGGAACATATCATAAGCGTTATTGATTATTAAAAATTCTGTAAGTTGTTTATAGGCAACTTTTTCTAGAATTTTTCCCATGAAAGGCAGATTTGAAATGGGCCGATAATTTTTGAGTGCCAGGGCTTCCAGACTCCTCTTTTTTAGGAGGGGCCTGATGACCGCCGTTTTCAAGGCCATTGGGAATGTTCCAGATTCAAGAGACATATTAACTATTTGTGTAAGTGAAGGTAAAAGACTGCTCAGAACTGACTTGAGAAATCTAGGAGGTAATACATCCAGGCTGCATGTGGAGGAACTCAGACTAGTGATTATCTCCTGGACAGTTTCAATTTGTACTGGTGTAAAGTGCGTCAGCCCAAAAAGCCTCACTGGCGGTTGGATTATTATTTCTATCGTGGAGGTGATGGCGTTTTTGATACCTTGGACTTTGTCATTAAAGAACTGAGCAAACTCATTACATTTAGATTTGGAAGTAAGTTCTGATGGCATCTTAACAGGGGGATTCGTCAATCTATTTACTGTTGAAAACAGAACACGTAGATTGTTGCTACAGCCTTCAATAGTTTCAGAAAAGTACATTTCCCTCGTTCTACGTAGTTCCCTGTTAAAATTGCACAACGCATCTTTGAAGATCTCATGGTCAACTTTGAGATTTGACTTTCGCCACTTCCGCTCGGCCTTCCGGCACTCTCTCTTCTGTGCCCTGACCGAGTCTGCTTTAGTCCATGGCGCTTTTTGCTTGTTTGTAACTATTTTAACCTTTACAGGAGCAATTGTATCCAGAACATTCAAAACAGTGGTGGTGACAGAATCAAGTAATTCATCTACAGTAACACACAACGTGTTCTCAAAGTTTACCCTCCCCATGAACAGTTCGCCTGTATTATCATTGATGTGTCTTCTTCTAACAACCGAAGATTCAGCTGGTGGTTTACAATCAAGACACATGTCAAAAAATACACAGAAATGATCAGACAGAGCAACATTGACCACATTTACATTTGAAATATTAACCCCCTGGGTAATTAACAGATCGAGAGTGTGTCCTCTGCTGTGGGTGGGGCCACTCACATGCTGAGTGAGACCAAAGGTTTCCAGCACAGAGCTCAGCTCTATTGCATATCTATCATTAGCATTATCTACATGTATATTGAAATCACCTACAATGACCAAACCATCAAAATCTGTGCACACAACTGAAAGCAACTCAGTGAAATGATCAGTGAAACTATGGCATGACTGTGGCGGCTTGTACACAACAATAATAAGAATGGAAGAAGATTTCTTTTGTTCTATTTTAAAAGAAACATACTCAAATGATGAAAAAAAAGGTGTGGTGTTCAGAGGACTAAAGGGAGATCAATGGCAGTGCACAAAAAATTAGGGACGTAGATAACTCAAAACTGTGTAAATTATGAGGGGAAACAGCTATAGCTGTTGTACCCCATTTATAAGCCTTAAGCCCAGTTTCCACCAGCCCTACTCAACTTTACCTATTTGCGTTTCCATTACGCTTTAGTTACTGGTACCGCAACCTAGCAACCTTCCCACAACAAACCAGTATCCAGAGACTTTCCTTGGTAACCATCGCTTCCAGCGGCTCTCTGACCAATCACTGTCAGTTAGAAAACTTTATTACACGGCTCCTCACAGCAGCAGTAGAATGCTCCATTGATTTGAATGTAATTTCAAAACGTTCTACCGGTCATTATTTCTTATAACGGACCTCTCAAAACAATAATGACCGCTGCCCATGGCAACGCACCCTCTGCTTGTAATTCATGTGTGTAGATTGCTCCGCAAGTAGTTCCGGCCACTCCGGAGCTAGCCACGCTCAATAAATGCAAATGCCAATCAATCAACGCAATTAAATGTTAATCGGAGAATACATTAGACATATACATTCCTAATGCACATGCACGGAGGATTTCAGAATTTTCTGTTAACGTTTTCATGACAAAAAAACTGTTTTAATGCGAGAAAAAGTGATCGCGAAAAACCCGGAAGTAGTTCCGGCCACTCCGGAGCTAGCCACGCTCAATAAACGCCAATACCTATCAATCAACCCAATTAAATGTTAATTGGAGAATACACTAGACCATGGGTGGCCAACCCGCGGCTCGTGAGCCGCATGCGGCTCTTTGGCTGGTTTCGTGCGGATCTCGGGCTTTCACACGACAAGGGTCAAAAACGCCTCGGTGGTGGCGCTGCCTTTCATTCTCTATGTAGTTCTGACCCATAAAGACTGACTCCACTCGCCGGGCCGCCAAAACAATCTGACGTCGGCGAACGTCAATTCTGATTGGTCAGATGCGTTGTCAATCACTCTGCAGCTGCTGCCTCAGCTGTTGCAAATATCATAACAAACAACACGTTGCCTCGACTCGACCCATGACGTCCGTACGGAAAACAATTCCTTGGTCGCTGGATGAGAGCAACACCTTCCTCAGTTTGAAAAAGGACACCAGCGTGAGCTCGATGGTTCCACCAGAAACCAGAAGGTGTTTGTGGAGCTAGCGCTGAGGACGGAGCAGAAAGATTCCCACGAACATCACAATGCAGAGAAAAGTTAAAAAGCTTAAAAGTGACAACCGTGAAATGGAAATGGTCCTCTCACACCAGAGTCCACCTCTTTATCATTGAGCTATAAAGCCACAAAAAGTTGTCCGGTGAACAGAGAAGAAAGACCGATGAGAAGCCAATTTTCCTAACCCTGCTCACAAGTGCCACCTGGTGGTTGTTTGGGTCATTGCCGCATCACTGGGGAAAAAATAAATAAAAGACGCGTGAATCACACGTGAGTCTCGTGTGATTCACGCGTGAAAGGCGACAAAACAAAATGGGACCTACTGTACGTGCGCGTGTGCATGCGTGTGTAAGGGTTGGGGTGATGTTTATGTAGTGCACATTTGTATGATGTGGCTCTTTGCTGTAACACAGTAAAAAAAAAATGTCATTATCGGTACTTATTTACCGATAATGACCTGTGTACGATACATTATCCCTTACTTAGTACCAGCTCAGCCTGGATAGAACCAGGGCCTAGAAGGACTAAAGAAGGACCAGGTACCAGTTAAACAGGGCTAGTGGAAACAAACCCAATCAGGGTAGAGTACACACGGCTTTAGAATTCTGGTCATAAATACAAGTCGGAAAAAAATCTATGTATCTGAGATTGCTGATAAGGTGAAAATGCATTGAATTGATTTTTTTTTTTTAATCCAGTCTTGATCAAACAAGGGAGTAAATGTGTGTGTGCGTGTGTGTTTGAGACCATGTTTCTAGAGTGTTCCCTGTTCTGATCTGACAGCAACATTCTGCTGTAAATGATAATGTCTGACACACTTTTAGGGGAAGTCCACGCTCAGAGCGGTGTCACCCACGGCACCAGAGCTGTGTCACCAACGGCAACAGCCTGTTCCACTGACAGGGCTTTGATCTGCCCGAGGTGACAGAGAACTGCGTTATGCAGAGTGTGTCAGCTGAGCTCTAGCCTCAATTGGTTCTCAGCACTCACCTGGTGAAGGCCAGGAACTGCAGCAGTAGCAGGTCTCCTTGGAGCAAATCTGTCTCCTCTCTGTGGGGGTCAAAGCTCAGGGGGTCCTCAGTGTCCAGGGTGTGGGCTGGCTGACCTGTGCAGTCCAACACCGGGGGGAAGCCTGCCGCACTGAGCTGGGCGAGAGCACCACGAGACCGAGTGCTGCCGAGATATGGGCTGGAAACACACAGGTAGAAACACACTCACATTATGGTTACATTTCAAATTATGACATTACGGAGCTCAAGTCACAGATCGGATCAGTGGAGGAGGAAGCATCAGTATTGCACACACTAATGTTTGTTCCGTGTGGTGTTGATATTCTTCAGGCACAATTGAGAGAGGCTCTCATTCGTAAGTAGAATTACACCAGTTCATTGACTAGGTTTTGAATGCAAGACTGATCTACATTACTAAATAGTGACAAATGTTGTTTGCTACATAGTGCTAACCTCTGTCACGAATGGCCAAACCTTTTCAAGCTGGAACCCCCCAGTATAGGAACAATATGTAACCAATTCACGACCCCCACTGACATATATCATATCATTAGCCTGTCCGTCCGGAGGAGCGGATCCCTTTCTCAAATGGGTCTCCCTCCCTGTGGGTTTCCCTAGTTCTCCCCAAGGTTTCTCACTTTTTCCCACTGGGTTTTTGAAGAGTTTTTCCTTGTCGATGCAGGAGGGTCTTGTCGGACAGTTAGTGTCCAACAGAAAGGATTGGTGATGATCAGGACACTTTAGCATTCTACAACATGTATGGACATTTTCTTCTGTGTGTGCTTTATATTTTTCATGTGTTTTAACTGTTGATTCTCTGACCTTTGTTGGTGATTTCAATGGTTTTGTTAAGTCCTCTGAGATGACTTCTGTTGTGACCTAGGGCTATACAAGAATAAATTGTATTGTATTGTATTGTATTGTATATACATTTAAGAGAGTTATAATGACTCATACTGTAGGACTGGCTGGGCCCTGAATGTAAGATCACACTAAAACTTGAGAACGAAAGCCCCACTGTAGTGACAAAGGACACCATATGAAACCGGGAGGCCGTGGTCAATATGTAGTATGACAATATGGACTTGAGATTAAATACATAAAAACACAAAAAACAGGGTCTCAATGTTTATTCAGACACTGGCGCCGTTTTGCATGAGCAAGGTTTATAAGTGTATAGGTCTGATGTTCACTGATATTCACAGCTTTTGACAGCTGCAAAAGTGCTCTGATGTACAACCGACATTTTGCTTCAGCAGTCGTGAGTTCAGGTGGTTAGAAAAGTGTATAAAGTGTGTGGTGAAGGGTTTTACCGTCTTAAAACATAGAGCTGCTAGTTCAAGGATTTCACTTATTTTTAGAACGTCCCTCCTTTAGGTGTCTGTGGAGATCCTGAGGGAGAGCCTAGCCAGCTACCAAAAGGCAGTCAGGGAGGCTAAATGCCAATATCTATCAAATATTGTCTCCTCCAGCTCTAGCAACCCTAGGGTGCTTTTTAACTCAATACAGTCTGTGATTAGTCCACCTGGCAGTGTGCTAAAGAATGTTTCTGAGTCTACATGTGATGGATTCCTGAAGCATTTTGTGGATAAAGTGGCATCAGTGAGGATGGGCATTGGCTGTAATGCTCACTCTGCTGTCCTTTATACTCCTCCACTGCCCCCTGCTGTTCTCGCAGAGTTTGAGCCTGTGACACTGATTCTCCTCTCTGAGGTGGTCCAGGGGATGAGACCCACAAGTTGTCCTCTGGATATTGTTCCATCTAAGGTTCTCAAACATGCTTTTGACACAGTGGGCCCATACCTCCTCGCTTTGTTCAATAGCTGCCTTAGCACTGGATCTGTTCCTGCAGCTTTCAAGCATGCTGTGGTTAGACCACTGTTAAAAAAACCTAATCTAGATCCTGCTGTTCTGTCAAATTTTCGACCTGTCTCTCACCTGCCATTTTTGTCTAAGGTTTTAGAGAAGCTAATCTTCATTCAGTTGCAGACCTTTTTGGAAAATAATTCTATTTTGGAGAAATTTCAATCAGGCTTCAGATCGCGTCACAGCACGGAGTCAGCTCTTCTTAAAGTGCACAACGACATTCTGCTGTCCTTGGATTCGAAGCAGCCAGTGCTTTTGATGATGCTGGACCTGACTGCGGCGTTTGACACCGTGGACCACTCAGTTCTCCTCTCCCGGCTGGCGGAGCATGTTGGTGTTCAGGGCACGGTCCTGCAGTGGTTCAGGTCCTACCTGACTGACCGGAGCTTTGTTGTGATGGTCGATGACTATTCCTCCTCCTCCAGCCCGCTGTCATCTGGGGTGCCACAGGGTTCCATCCTTGGCCCGGTCCTGTTCTCACTTTACATGCTGCCGCTCGGGTCCATCCTTGCCAGACATAATTTATCATTCCATCTTTATGCTGACAATGTCCAGGTTTATTTACCAGTGCTCCCTAACACTGCCACTGCCCTTGACTCCCTCCACCACTGCCTTTCGGACATTAAACAATGGCTCACGCAGAATTTCCTCCACCTCAATGAAACAAAATCCGAATTCATTATTTTTGGCTCCGGGGATGTTCCTCAGTTTCAGTCCAGGGTCGTGGGTCCAGTCCGTGATGCCGTCAGGAACCTGGGAGTTGTTTTTGACCGGGAACTGAACTTTAAACAACAAATACATGCTGTTGTCAAAACCAGCTTTTTCCAGCTGCGCCTTTTGACCAAGGTGAAGCCCTTTCTCTCACGCCAAGACCTCGAGAAGGCAACGCACGCATTTATCAGTTCTCGGTTGGACTATTGCAACGCTCTCTACTCTGGCCTCCCACAGTCGTCACTCAACCGGTTACAGTTGGTGCAGAATGCAGCAGCCCGTCTTCTCACCGGTTCATCTAGATACAGCCACATCACTCCTGTCCTCTCCTCCCTGCACTGGCTCCCGGTCCGTTTTCGGATTGATTTTAAAATGTTAATGCTTGTTTTTAAAGCTCTTCATGGTCTCGCTCCGTTATATTTAACTGAGTTGTTGACCGTACATCGCCCCAGCAGAGCTCTCCGGTCTGCCAATCAAATGGTTCTGGATGTGCCCAGGTCCCACTACAAACAGTGGGGCGAACGTTCCTTCAGGGTTGCAGCGCCTAAACTGTGGAACAGCTTGCCACTCAGTCTGCGTGTTCTCACGGACCTGTCCCTTTTTAAGTCCAGATTAAAGACTCATCTTTTTAAACTTGCTTTTAATACTTAGGGCACACTGAATTGTGTCTTGGTTGTTTTCATTTTGTGTTTTAAATTGTTTTAATCTCTCTGTGAAGCACTTTGGTCCTCCTGGTGTTGTTGTAAAGTGCTATACAAATAAACTTTGATTGATTGATTGATTGATAAACGAGAGACCAGTGTACATTGTTTTCACTCCCTCTTTGACTATCAGATAACTGAATTTGAAAGTACAAATCACCCATGGGATTTCATGACACTTTTTTATTAAGTAGAAATCACATCAGTGTGTGTTATAAACAGAAGCTGTAAAGGTCCTTCTCATTTCTCAAACACTCTCAATAATGAATATCTCTCTCTCGCTCTCCTGCTCTCTTCCTGTGCGCCCACTTTTATTGTCTAGTTTTAGATCAATATTGACATTTTCAATGCACTAAATACTGTGTATTATAAATCCACCTACGAGAGGTGCAGTTCAGTCCTTAAAATATGACCTACACATACAGACGCCGATATGGACCAATTTATTCCTTTCGTCCAAAACCCATTTCCAAGCTTAAATTAATAAGAATCCGCCCATCACAAACAAACTTACAACAAAAAGACAGACCATGATGATTACACTACCCCTGATTGGTGGAAATAATGAGCCACTGGTATCAAAGATGCACTATATCGCAGACAAAAGAAACTTTTGCTTCTCTGAAGTTTTTTTATGAGTTGAAGTTATACTATTTTTTAGTTGGTCCATGACTGACTGACTTTTGTTTTTATAGTTTTGCCCAAATGTATTGCAAATGAACAAATCCCAAATAGTGAGGGCCAAAACTTATTCTTAACTTTTCCAAATCTTTATGGATCTGGAAAGTTCTGGGGGTCTATTAGTGTGAAAGAGCAGAGGCTTATGTCAGCATCACTACAGTGAGACACAATCAGCCAATCAGAGAGCAGCACCCCCAAAGCAACTAACGAAGGCCACAGCCAAACAACAGCCTCATAATGAGAGCAGTACTCCCACCGCGGGAGCAGCTGGGTTGAGCGGGATGTGGGATAAGCACCACTCCCAGAACCAAGGACCGGCTTCAAACTTCTCAAGCTCAGTAAAAAGTTTAACCTTCAATTTAAAGCTAGAGCACCTAACTCGTTTGCTTCATTAATAATACATTGTGTTTGTTGCCATAGAAGAAACAGTGGGGAAGGGGTCACTGTTGCACTGAACAGTTGGAATAAGAAACTAACAACATAATGAAACAATAAATGTTTTGGACTTTTGGAAAGTGAGAGGAAAGACATTTCATCATAATCATTATTATTATTATTACCATTATTATCATTATTATGTATATTATTATATTATTATCAGGGGTGCACATAACTTTGTCAGTGAGGTACTCAGGTGAGTCCCAAGAGATGGTGTTTGGTACTCACTCCATTGTCGCGTGGTTCTTAATCGCAATTTTATACTTATACTAAAGAGTTTAAATCAGCTCAGAAAATCCACTCAATTCAAGTCAAATAATGACTCACAGGGCTCTTTCTTAAAAATGCAAAACAAAACAAAAAATCAAACAAAGTTCTGTTTGATTTGTTCACAACATTATTATGCATTATTAATACAAGGGAAAATGCAGGTACCACAGCTTTAATTTAGAGAGGACATGGACACTCCCTTAAGGCTCCATAGTCCAGCTCTGTTTCTTGCAGTAAAGCAAAATGTATTTATTCATTTTGCATTACGCAAAGACACACACTTGCAACAAGCAGAGAATGGTCCGTGCTGGGTACATTATGACCACGTTTGGCTACGTGCTCGCCGCATTGTTGTCAAGGAGCCGCTGTCATTACAAAGTGGCCTGAGTGGCTCTGGAGTCAGAACGCTGCTGCCACACAGGATTTGGATTCCCTTTCGAGTACGTACAGCAAACAGCGGCAAGTGCCCCGCGATCACGCACACCCTCTCTGGGATTGCACCACACATTGTGTGTGTGCGCGTGTGTGTGTATTGTAACTCACCCTGATGTGCTGGTCCCCAGATGAAGCACAGGGGCGTGGACAGGGGTGTAGGCGGTCTCCTGAAGATGGTCCTCATCCAGTCTCAGTGCGGCCCCAGGGTCGAGGTCTACCTCCAGGTGGGCCATGGAGCTCATCTGTGAGAGAATACACAGGTCATGAAGGCCCTTCCCCCACCACACCAGTCTGAGGGCATGAGAAGAACACGTAGTTCACGTAGTCTTTTTCACCTAGAGAGCTACTTTCCTGGGACAATAAAGGCAGATAGCTACTCCTTTAAGTGGCCCTGGGAAAAATTTGGTGTGAACGAGCCTGGTATCACATTCATTTATCATCTCATATTTGTTACTAGAGCACAAAGTAGGTGCATTTACAATATTAAATAACTATAATGAATAATTCAATCTGAAATATTGAGTATATTATTTGATTTGACTAGATCCTTTAGCAAGCTACCTGGAAGGGGGTGGCGAGCTACTGGTGGCTCCGGAGCTACAGGTTGGAGACCCCTGACGTATATGATGTCAATGACTCCAATTTAGGTGTAGGGAAAATATGCAACAAGAGCAACATTAACATGGGGGCCCTGTGGTCATGGAGGAGTTTGGAAACACGCCATGCTCTATACAAAGAGGGACAACTGCAGCACAAACGGCAAAGAGGAGAGGAGAGATGAGAGAAAGTAGAAAAGAGGAGAGGGATGAGAGGAGAGAGAAAAGAAGAGAGAAAACAGTGGAGAAAAGAGTGACGACAAACAAGGAGAGAGTTGAGTAGAAAATAGGTTTTTTTTATTATTGGGAGTTTTTCCATGGGGCGACGGTGGCTCAGTTGGTAGAGCATTGGCCTTTGAGCCTGCAGGTCATGGGTTTGAGACCTTCTCTGCCAACTCACTACCTACCCCGACCCAGAAATAGACAAAGGGGAAGAAAATGGATGGATGGAGATTTTCCTTGCCAATGGACAGTGGCGATGAACCAGGACACTCGACATTCAACAACATTTATGGACATTGGTCGTCTGCCCCTTCCCACTAAACATCCGACGTCCACTCAACCTCCAGATCACGTCAATATCGCGTCGGTCGGTCGTGACCTTTTATTCACGTCCAAACGACGTCTGTGCAAGGTGCACATCTGGACGTAAAACAATGACCTCCCATATACGTGGATATGACGTCCAATCCCGACCTCCCCTAGACGTGGAAAACAGGTCATCGGCTGACCGACGCAGTACGTCTTGATCTAGCAATACAATATATAGGCTGTGAAGCAACGTAAGTTTACCTGACGGTAGTGTAGTGGTTAAGCAAATGTGTGCAGTCTTGGTTACGTGGGTTCGAGCCCACGTGTGTGTATTATTATGTTTACATATTTGTTTTGATTTTTAACAAACAATTTTTTTCTGTTTGGTTAAAGACTAATAAACACTCAACATAGGATTACGTAGTGGCTAATAATAAAACTTGTGAATGCATTTGTTGTGCTAACAATCTCAAGTTTGCAAATAAGGGGTGAGCACTTGAGATTGTATGCAAATGCATGGGTTCACAAGTTTTATTATTAGCCACTACATAATCTTATGTTGAGTGTTTATTTGTTTTTAACCAAACAGAGAAAAATTGTTCGCTAAAAAGTGAAGTCAAAAATGTTCCGACGGGGATTTGAACCCCCGTCGTTGTGACTGAAGTCTCATTACGCAACCGCTACACCACCGCCAAGCATTCATTTTTGACTACTGTGAAAAAATCATAGATAACACCCTAAACAAACGACGCACACTTATGCGAGGTTACAGCCTGACACGTGAGTCGGTCGAGGACCTGTTTTCCACGTCTAAACGACGTAAGGTGTGCATCTGGACGTAAAGCAATGTCTTCCCAGACGTTGATATGACGTTGAATCTGTACCTCTGTCGCTGCCCTGCTTTATTTACTTGGAATCACCCTCTCTACTAAGTACACAGTCTGCACAGTTTTTAGATATAGATGTATCATTTCCACATTGAAAAGAGTTGGAGACAGAAAGTAAGTTGTTTTCTCACGTATACGTGGAATTTGTTAAGTATATTTTGTATATTATCTGTATTTTGAATTGCCAGTGCATGAATCTATAATAATAACGGCTGGCACTGCTCAGCTGAAAGGGAGACACCTTTTTTTAGTTTAAGTTTAAAATATGATATTGTTTTTCATATTTCAAACTATTTTTAACACTGTTAGGTTAGACTGTCCAACAAACTATGTGTTAAAAAAGGTTAAGATTCTTGAGTTTTAAAATAATAATTCAATTCTAAAATGTAAAGTTACTGTATATTTCACAATGGTTTATAAACTGCAAAAGACAACAGTACTTAGTAAACTAAGTTTAAAAACTGGGAGATCAGCTTTAATATTTGGGACACTCCCATCATTTAGACACCTGTGATGTCATCAGTTGGAGTTGAGTTCAGGTGTGGGACCATGTGGGACCATGTGGGACCATAGGAGCACACAGATGTTACCTGCTGCAGAAAGAGAGTTTAATGTTCGTGTATTGCTTTGTTTAATAAATGGATTTAATGTCTTCCCATTAAATCTTCAATGTCAGAGACTTTCACTTCTTCTCACTGTGGCTGTTTAAATGAGCCACTACAGTGGTTATTTTTGTTATTGTTAGCTGCAAATATTAAATATCCATTCATCTGCTGGTAGCAAGCTAACTAGCGCTTGCAACTCTATTCAATTTCTTACATTTCCTTATAAACTTTAAAACCAGCCATATGTTAATTAAAATACATGTACCTTTGCTAATGCAGTCAATTATTGTGAAATCCATAGAGTATAATTTCATGATTCTTGCAATAACTAATGTTCTGTGTGTATTCCTAACGTGTCATGTGTGTTTGAGTCTTACAGGTGTCAGACTGTGTTGAAGGTGTTCAAAGGTAAGAATCACACTCTCACACATTGATTGTTCTTCTGTATTATTATGTTGTTTTGAGAATAAACCATTATTTGGTGTATTCTCTTTGAAAACATCTATCTTTTTCTCAGATTGTTCAGCAACTCACTCAAGATGAGGGAAAAGAGCAACAAGGGGAAAATGCCCCCTCCAAAATGCAACATGTGTAGAGTAATACAGGGTAAGTAGCTTTCAGGGCTCATTTGTGTCCATGTGCAAAACAAATGCACATTTGCAATTGTTTTTTACATGGAATTACTCCAATGACCAAAGCCTTATCCCAAGTTTCTCAGACGGAGTGTCTTCCAGTGTCTCGAGCGAGTGCAGTGCCAAGGTTTGTATCACATGGTGATGGATCGAGTGGTTTGAGGCATTAATAGAAGGTTATGTGTTGTTATATCACTTTGCCACATTATGTTGAAACTAAACATGTTCCACATTTTCAGGTGCTGTGCTTGGACCTTGTGATGAGAGACTGAAGACCAAGAGAGGACACATGTTGGAACATCAACATTCAATAAATGCATTCTTCTGCCTTTCAGATTGTGTTTTTACATCTGGGGAACCTAGGGTGTAGCTTGTGCCTGTTTTAATACTGATCCAAACATAGGCGCTACAATCATGTTTTTTTACTTTGGCATGAACTGTTCAGTACAGTAGTGTTCATAACACTGTGCCCTGTGTGGTTTAACTTGTACTTTGATGTAGAGAAACATGATTTTAATGCAGCTCCATTTGCAATAGTGACTGATATCCTTCTACTACAGTTGTTCTAATGATTTTTGAATGCTGTGTTTATCGTTTATTGCCCAGAGTCAGAACTAAACATGATATAGCTGCATTTCAGATTCACAAGGCTAAAATCTGGAACGGTCTTCCTGGAAATGTGAGACAGGCTTCTTCTTTGACAATGTTAAAATCCAGGTTTAAAACACTTCTGTTTCTGCTTCAACTGAGAGATTTTATGAGAGATTTTATTTGTATCTTTTTAATTTACTGTCAATATTTATAATTGTAATGCCTTGTTTGATTGTTTCTATCTTTTGTTCAGTGCTTTGAGTTTCCTTTTGTTTTGACTGTGCTATACAAATAAACTTGCCTTGCCTATTGCAAAAAGTATGTCTCGACTAGTAAGTGATTCTGCAGAGGTTAAGTAGATCAATAGGACTGTAAATGGACGTCATATAAACGTCAATATTTTGGTCATATAAGACGTCGAGAGGACGTCGGACCCGACCGGTTCTGTACCACATTGCAACCTTGAATAAACGTGGCCTCGACGTCGTTTGAATGTCCAGATAACGTCCAGATGACGTTGAAATGACATCGTTTTGACATCTGCTTGCTTAGTGGGAACGACTGAAAACGAACGTCATATACTGCAGCTGTTTTACAGCCTGTTTGGACAGACCTGTGAGCAGGCCATTGCAGTAGTCTAACCTACTGGAGACAAATGCATGGATAAGAATCTCAAAGTCTGCTTTAGACACTATGTTTTTGATCCTGGCAATGTTTTTTAGGTGGTAAAAAGCTGATGATGTCACTGATTTAATGTGGCTATTAAAATGTAAGTCTGAGTCCAGAATTACCCCTAGATTTCTGACCTTGTTTGAAGGTTTTAGGGAGAGAGACTGTAGGTGAAAGAGGACGCTCTCTCGGTTTGTGTGTGCGTTAGAGCAGTGTGGCACAGATGCCAGAACACCACGTTACAACCACACAGAGTGAATAATGAAACGCTCACAGCTCTGAGTGTCTATGAAAGCTGTTTAAGTCTCGCTCTGACACATTGGGTTCACGCACACGCTCATATGAAGAGTTTATCTGATGGCACGCTGAAGGTTAACAGGGCTCAAGAGGAGGTTGGGGTGTGCGTTTAACCGGAGCGTCACCAGGCAGCTGTGTCAGCTCTTATCTGATCAAAGCTTCGGCTCTGGGCTCGTGAAAGTGTCTGCCTCGCGAGTACACACAGCCTAAGAACACTTCAAATAATCCAAACAGAGCGCTCGCGGCAGCACAACGCACACTATTTTTGGAGGAGAAAATCTGCTTTGGAAGGCTGAACAGTGTGTTTCAGGCCGCGCTCTGGCCACGCTCTGGCCGCAGGGATGAGGCAGGAGTTTAGGAAGTGTAAATTATCAGCAGCTATTTGAGCAGCCGCCTGACTAAAGCTGTGTGCTTGTGTCCAACACTGTGCTTTT